TGGACGTTCAAATACTTTTTTTTAATTATTTTCATAGAATTATGAAATTTTGCATGCATATATATTTTACTATAATTATATCAAATATCTTTGAAAAAAATTTCTGGATCATTGCAATTTAATTTTTTTTTTCAAATTTCTTTTGAATTTTTAAAATTTTTTCAAAATGCTCCATGCGACTTAATTTTTGTTCTGTTTCTTGTTATTTTTGCTTTATTTTTATTAAAAATGCATTGCAAACACAACTTAGTATCAATTAGTGAATTGCATAAAATGTTAGTTTTTAATTCATATTTCTTTCACATATACCTGAATTTTGGACAAAATTTCCCACTTTAATTGGACTTTTTATCCCCTTAATGAATTCGCATTCAAAAATGCATACTACTTTTTGTTAAATGTATAAATGGAAATCTAAATTACAGTGATTTTGAACATAAAATAAAGCGCATGGAGCATTTTGAAGATGTAATAATGGCGAAAATTTCAATATGAGAAAAATACATTTTAAGAATATTTTTACGCTTACCTATAATATTTACTTCTTACCATGTCCCCATGTCCTAATATATGATTTTATTTAATATAAAATATTTTAACATTATTTTACGTATGCATAAATAATGTTTTTACTAATAAAATCGTAGAATGGTAAGAAATACTAAATGTTATTTTAGAAATTTTCTCGAACACTTTCAGTAAACTCATCCAAATACATTTTTTTTAAACTAAGAATCACTTTAAAAACATCCTGCGCCATATGTTTTCCCTTCCTCATTTACATTTTCATTATGTTTACCTACCTAACATTTTTTTTTTTTTTTTTTTTTTTTTTTGTAATTCTTCTTTTCTTGTATTCAGTCGAACCCCTTTGATGGAATTGAAATTTATTGTTTCTTACCTTCGAAAGAATTTATTTAGCTGAGACGTTAATTAAAAACTCTGAAAAAGATCATTTTTGCGCTCATTCTTCCGAATGGCAACAGTTTCGTGCCCTGGAGGTAAAAATGCTTTATTTCGAAAAGTGTTGCCACTTCTTGCTTTCAAATAGTAGAGTTTGTAATCAAAAATTTGTAAGTTCTACAAAATAACTAAAATTATCATTGCCAAACATTAAACGCATTATTATTATTATTATTATATAAATAAGGACATATTCTGTTATTGAAGAAAGCACTCGATTGCATATGACGTTATTCGTGTCGAAATTGTTCCGTTAATCTCAGCATTTTAAAAAAGCTACTGTTGGCAAGTTTTTTGTTTCGGGTTAGGGTAATTGACACGATATGTTATTACCACATTAATTCTTTTGTTGATATTGAGCTGTTACATTACATTAAATTTAAATCATCAAGTTAATTATAATACACATATATGTATTAACCTGCAGTTTCAAAAAATTTTATTTCCTAGTTTGGCAACAAGAAAATTATTTACGAATTGGTTGTTGCTTGGAAAGAATGAACTGATTTCATTCCTACTGAAATGTTTTTATTCATTTTCTTTTCAAGTATGCATAGAACTTGTAAATTTTCCTTTGGTCGCAGGCCCCTCATATGGCCGGCTTGCTTACTAACATATTTTATTTTTTGAGAAAATAGCGTAGCCTCGTATTATGCTACGGAATTCTTTTACGAAATATAATGTATGTAACTGCCCAAAATAAAACACGATTTATTTTAATCGGTTTAATAAAACCTTGAAGTCTACACGAAAACATCTGTGCATTCCTATTCATTTTTATAATCCCTTTTTGCTCAGGTGCGAGACTTTTATGGTAAGAAACCGTTTATTCCCTCCACTTATCAGAAGAGGCGTGTTTTTAGCGTGGGATTCTGTATTCTCCTGTATTTTCATTAAATCGCAAACGTTTCCTACATAAGGAACAACTTATTGGAAAAGTGACTAGCATTTGGATAGTGTGCAGGGACCTCTCCAATGTTTGCATAATGACGTAACAGCAAAAGATTTCAGCTGTAGGATATTGACATGGTTATTCATTTTTCCATTGGTTCTAAACTTGATTTTAAAAATATGATATAGGTGCAAATCATCTAATTATAGCCTGTCAAAGCGCCAATATGTCATTTCTTTGAATTTCAAGAGAAAAACCTTTGTTTCAGCGTTATTCAAGTACAGGTTTTTAACAGTAATGCAAAACCCAAGATAACATTACGAAATTCCAGTACTATAATTTTTAACTGCAGTATCATAAATTTTAACTAGTGAGACAGAACAAAGAAGACTTTCATAAGAGTTAGACACTTAACATTATCTAATCAATAGTATCCGAACACAACTCTACTTTTGAGTTTACGGTGCAAACGACAGAAATTAATGAACGGTATCCCCTTTCGTAATGATTATATTTACCACTCTTCTAGGAAAAGCTAACCGCCTGCGAAAAATATCTCATTTGGAACCATTCTTCAAAAGAGTGGCAACTATGCCTTATTTAGGGTGTGAAGATCTGGTTCACAACCGACGGCCCATTTCCTTGCATTGGTGCTCAATAAGACTAGGATTATGTGTCGTAACAGTCCAGTTCAATCACTGAATATTCATTTTACAAAAAAAGCAAAATTGCATATGCTGGATCTGGTTCTAGTTGACCTTCCATTCAATACGATCTGGTTCTGGTTCATCTTGCAGGTGCAAGATGAACCAGAACCAGATCGCAACGAAATACAAATTGGGTCCTCAAATAATGCTACAGCATACGTAGGATAGATTGCTCAAAAATGCAAAAATCTGAGTCCGTGTTTAAAGTATCAGCTGCACTAACCATATAGCTGAAGCCATATCAGAGGGAACAGTCTCCACCTTCGATCACCTCCACTAAACATTATTTGTGGCAAAACTCTATTAACGCTGTGATCATTTGCATGGCATTCTTCACATCTGCACGCCTTTCATTGGAATGTCAAATCACGCAGCTTTATTCTTCGCTCCAAAGAGTATGATATCATTGTTCCAGGCTCCACTCACAATGCTGATTACGTAATTGAGGTAGGGGTTGGCATAGGATTTTGCGTGATACCTTTTATATGACTAGAAGCAGCGCTTGGAGAGTAAAGTGAGATTTACGAGGACTATGAAAAAAAGACCAAACGTTTTCAACGATGCGATTGGCATGGTCCACCTACTGGGTAATTTAGAGTTAGATATCGAATAACTATAAACTGAGTAATGTGCATTAGCTCTCGTCGAATTAATGAAAAAGCAAAAATGAAGTAGCTGTAGGAACGATACTTATTTATCAAATTCTGTTTAACCTTTTGAGACCGGGGCTTTGGTAGCAGTAAAAGCTACCAAAAGACGGGGAATCTTGAACCAAATGCTTTTCCCCCTTTAAGAAATCACCTCCTATTTGCAACAAAATTCTTGTGTGTAGTTTAATGGATTCTCAGAGGGGGAGGCATCTATGTCGCAAAAGAAAGACCTTTGAAAGAGATAAGTGGTTAAAACCCTAGGGACGTCAAATTTGACATTTCAATCCAACATCCCAGCCTGGAAAATGGGGGAAAAAGACATGGCCACTAAAGTGGACAACCCCGTCTTTTCAATTTCAAGTTGGACTCTATGAACACTTTAATTGGACACCCCGTCTTCAAAAGGTTAAAACTGGAGCAAAGGTTCACAGAAACATTCAAAATGCTTAATCAAGCAAACAATGGTGACTGCACGAGACGCATGCAGTGCTACTATTGGTTTTAATATTTTAAGGAGAATAGAAGTTCGGTTGCACATAATCCAAGTACTGGATGATGTTCCATGTGAACAGACGATGAACATGTTCAGAGTACATGAATTTGTACCTCGCCGTCAGACAGTAAACAAGGAATTCTACTAGAGAATTCTAACACGGTTAAGAGTTGCTGTGCATAGCAAGAGATCTGAACTGTGAGGGAATCAGTAGAGGATATTGCAGCATTACAATGATCTAGCTCACGCATCTTTCCAATTGTTGCTAATTATTCTGACAAAACATCGCCCTTCCGTTATGTTCCACCCATCCTTTTGTCTGAGCTTTGGCTTTCCAGATGCTCTTTCCTTTTTGAAAATTTAAAATCACTTTGAAAGAAGATCGTTCCCAGTCCATAGAGGAAATTCATCAAAATGCAGCACCATCTGTATATACTGTACCACCATATTGTACGCCATCGAAAAAAGTGATTTTTAGCAAGCGTTCAAAAGTGGGAAAAACTATGACAACAGCTAATTGACACTACAGGGGAATACTTTGAAGGGGATGCTTGCTGAAATTTCGTATACTTAGCAATAAAGCAGGAATAACAAAAATTCAGTCCTTTTTAAGCAGTCCTTGTATATTCTGTGGCCCAGCTATGAATCCCAGTATTTATGGTAACAATTTAATAATAGTTATTCTAACCTAACAGCCAGAATGAACCTCGTATTTGGTATCTATGGTTTCTGCAGATTCCAAGCGATTTGTTTTCACAACCCAGTTTATACATTTTTCTTCTTCAGATGGCGTAGCCGATCCCGTCATGGTTACACTGACATAGTTGAAGCTCCTACGGATGGAACACTTTCAAGAATTCCAAAATCTCATTTGCTGCAACAACGATATCATATAACTTATCGTTTCTCAATGTTAGAGAAATCGCTTAATTTACTTTCGAAGCTATGGAGCAACGGTGATATTCCTCTCCAAACCTGCGTTGAGATATCACCAGCAGGATCCACTCCGTGTAGAGGGCGTTCAGATACTCTTAAGGGGCGTTCCCACTGGGGTTTATCTGAGCTAATGGAGTCAGTTCCTTGTGTCGACTAGCTCCGCTGTGCCTGCAGTTCAGATGTTTCAACTTGCTGGCCTGTGGTAAAAAACTGTTTTTGGAGATGGGTCGGCTACTTCAGTTGTCTCCGTTAGCTCAGATAAACCCAAGTTGGAACGGCTCTTTAGACAACTAATGTATTTCTTGATCTAATAAAACAGATCTAAAAGGTAGAAGTTTCACTGTATTAGTATTACTTACCGCCCATCATGACATTCGCTATAATGAGGGCCATGCATGATATGAACAGTAGTAAGCAGAGAGTTACCAGAATTCTCTCAGTGTTGGATCTCCTGTGCCACCAAATGCAGTTCCTATGACAAAAATAAAAATGTATTTCACACTTTTCGAAAATAACTAAACCAAATACATATTTAAAATAGTAAAATGAAGAAGTTCGAAGAAATATTAGCTGTTTCTAATTTTGTTAAGAGAACCCCCGGTTAATAACTGTTTCATTAATTTTTAATTTTAGCATCGGCTATAAATGATCTTCGTGATTAATTTTCAAATAAATGTTCACTGAAAAAGAACTGCAATTTTTATTTCCTATATTAAACTTCAGGTCAATTTTCTTACATTCGCTGGCACAGTTTTATGTTTAATTTTTAATAGACAATTTTCTTTTCGTTAAATGAGTTGCATCAAAATTCGGAAAGGCCTTAGTTCGTTACAAAAGATTAATCTTTTCCAGCTAATGTTATTAAGATCTTAAACTATTGCCAAAATTGTATTGTTATTATAACTTTCTTAACGCTTTTAAATTCACTGTCAAGTGATCCAGTATTGGATGACCTTATTTAATGATAGCCAACACTTTTAATTTTTCTATGATTAAACTGCTTATAATAAGTATACATTATTATTTGGATTATGGTAAAACACACAAAGACCCATTGCTTAGGAGGTTCTCTAGGGGGATCAACTGGGGGCAACCCCTGGTGTATTGTCTAAGACCTGTGTTTAGACAGACTTCTAGGGTACATAACATGCCTTCACAAGGACTAGAGCAAACGATTGTTCGGTGGTCCGTTCAGGTACGATAGAAACCGTAACGGTAGTGTCAAGTCTGTCTCATGCTACATGGTAGGTATAGCAAAGGTTATCCTCGGGGGTTCGCCCCCGTTGGTCAGCTTAGACGGACTGACGTTGTCTGAATTTTTTTCGGTGACCAGCTGGTGCCTGATCGCCCTGTCTTCTACTCATAAAACTGACCTTATTCATTATCGCAGCTGATCACTAACGGCTTGTGCTCCCGTGGATCGCCTGTAGAGGCTTATTCATCACTCTGTGTTAAGGCCTTTTCAAAATCTCAGGTCAGGAAGTATCTAATTTCTAGTAGACTGCCTAAGAGGTGGGGAGGAATTGCGGTAGACGCTCCAAAGGATAGGCTATAAGGTATTTCTCCCGCCTTCTTGGCTTGCCTTCGTGGTTTAGTGGTCAGCACACTCGGCGCATATGCAAGAGTTCAATGGTTCGAATTCCGGCGCGGACATTACTTTTTTTAATCTCTCTTGCTTTCAAAAATACCTAATATATCTACAATGGCGCTCGAACTAAGAAGGTGGTGGATGATGATTCTCCACCCACCGGGATTTGGGAATTGGGTCCCTAATACCCAGTCGCTTTTTAAAAGGGGGAGTATATAAGGTATTTCTCCCGCTCTCTTAGCATGCCTTCGTGGTGAAGCATCAGCACACTCGGTGCGTATTCAAGAGGTCAGTGGTTCGAGTTCCGGCGAGGGCACTGCCCGTTTTTCATGTCTCCTGCTTCGAAATAACCAAATGTCTCTACAAGGTTAGGCTATTTGAATATGGAAAAACAAGTAAGAGCTGCTGCCTAAGGAAAGATATACTTTTATTAAGTTACTTTTAAAGGAAACTAGCTCATATTTCTATAACATATAGTAAAACCACTAAAACCAAGCATACAGTCAGCCTGTTCGTCTGGAATCTAAACCGGGCCAAACTTCCAGTATATGGCGGTCATTGATGGGGCGATTCTGTAAGGGAGACTGGATCGTATTTACAGTATACATGGAGAAACCATGAAAACAACCATGCAGTTATTTTGCTCTCCGAGAAGAGGTTTCATATCCAGTGTTCAGCTATTTTACATTTCGACCAATGCAATATAATGATACTCCATACAGTCTCCCAAAGTTGTCTGCATTTTGTCTGTTTTGCAGCAAATTTAATTTATAACTAGAGTTCTGAATATTTCTGAATCTGTATACACTATGTCCACAGAAATCCTTATCCAACCTTTATTTTTGAAACCCTTTGTCATATGCTTCAAAATGTATCAAATGACGCAAATATTCGTGATTTGGAGTTTTTAAATTTAAAGAAATCAATTTCATAAAAATTACGAAATTTGAATTTTATACTTTTCTTCTGTCCCTCTACTTTAAGAAAAATTAGACCTTAATTTAACCTTTAATAAGAAAATTTAACCTTTAAGAAAATTTTTACGGGTTAAAATAAATAAGAATAAATTTTATTAATTTTTCATCAGATTTGTGCATTCAATCTATTACCCATACGCTAGCAACAATATTTTATATATTTAATATACGTTTATATTTAATATCTATACGCTTAATATAGTTTATATTTAATATTTTATACGTTTAATACACGTTTATATTTAATATTTTATATTTTTAGTAAACGTTTATAATATTAAAAGTTTTACATTTCTCATTTTATACGTTAATGACTTTTTGTGCGACTAACAATTTGTGATTCTAAATTAATCAAACTTCATAAGAATGTTAATAATATGTTTTGAGATTTTAGAAGATCATAAATTACTTGGGCAGAAACTCTTACGGCGTATCACATGTGCCATAATTATAAATTAAAAATATTAGTAAATCGCATAAAAATACCATTGAATGGAGGATAAACTATGTATCAGCCTCAAAAAATTATTAGCCCAAAAATGTGTTAACTCAGAAGGGTAATTGGCATTTTGCGTCGATTCACTATAAAGGTCGAATCACTTGTGAAATTGTTGCCATCAAATATTATCGCCCCGTATTATATTTAAAGAAATTAAATAATGAAGAATCTGCGCAAATGTATATATGTTTCTCGCATTGTGATAAAACAACAGCACCTAGAGCCATAAAATTTTGAATAATGTACGTGTGCACCTGAATATAGGCATCCGGAATCCCAAATTTGGAAATCGGAATTTTTTTACGATCTATTTCATATTTTGTAAAGCATTTATGAGTTTTTGATTAAGAAACTCAATGATTTCAAAACGAGCAATGCACCATCGTACAGAAAGAAAAAAACACTTTTATCTCCAGCGCGCGAATACTGTGTGTCGGAAATTCTAAAGATATGCTATTTTAAATATTTTCCGATATTGCTGTCGAATTCAGTTTTATGGTTTAAGTGAACATGATATTTAATAAATACAGGTAACACACAAAACGTTAAAAAAAGATCTCAGAAATTTCATATATTTTTTTCCTAGTTTATTTGTAAACGGATCTCTCAAGAAAAATATAAAATGATGCTAAAACCTGCAAATTTTGAAATTAAATATCTCAATCTATTTTGGGTCAAATATTTCAGCTACATTTTTTATAGCAAGTACAAAATTTTCCTAACTATAAGTATGCGGGCGGAAGAACATGTTAAAGTTATATTTCGTAATTATTACAAAATTGCTTTTATTTAAATTTAAAGTTGAGATAAAGCAATACTTGAGTCATTTAAATTCTTTTAATAACTGTGATATATATGTGTACTACCAAGTGTTGCTAAAATAAAAGCCGGTGCAGACGGTCCTAGTCTAACACAGTCAGTCTAAACATCAAAAACTACTATGGGCATAATTTATTAATAGAAGCATTTATATTTACAAATTATTTCTTTTTTCAGAGCTGAAAGTACTTCCTTGTACGAAGTAAAAAGGAACTATTGTAATCGCGAAACGTTTCAGGCAGCATATTTCAACGAAAATATCCATTTTGACTGCTATCGAATGCAATTTAACGATGTTTTTGCGTGATATCAATACGTAAGGAAAGAATAAAAGACTCTTTTCCTCCAAAAAAATTATAAATAAAACTGCTTTAAAATGAATTCCGAAGAGATTGTTTCGTGGCGTCTGTACGAACGTAGGTATCTCGCATAACTCAAAAACGAGTAGCCTCAGAACGTTGAAATTTTGTATATAGGACTGCTATAACATGTAGATGGGCACCTCGTATTTTGGTTGCAATCGGCCGCACCAAACGTATATAAATATATTTATATATATATTCACTCTGTTACCCGGCTCAGTGATCTCAGTTTCTTTACTCTTACATGTTTGTAAGTTGTATATATTTTGCTTTAAAAGTGATTAAATTATGTTGTTCTTATCTTCCTGTTAAGGTTTTTATGCCTTTAGTAAATCTTAATGCAATATTTTTAGAATTATCAACAATTTTAAAGATGATTAAGTGCCGCTAAGCCTAATAATGTTTTTGATGGCGGCTATTGCTTGTTTACATTTTAATTAGTGGACTTGTTGCCAATCTAGAGAAACGTAGCTTCGCAAAAACAAAGATAACGCCTTTATTTATTATTACGAATTAAATCATGCTTTGTTCTTTCTGGAATTTTTTCGAGGAAATAAGTGTTTAACTTTTACTTAATTTTTATAATTTAATTTTAATAATTAGTAATTTTTAATACAGATATTTTAATTTTTACGTATTTTTGCCTTGTCGCGATGTGAGAACTGAATTAATTGAATGAGAAATACTAAATCATCTGTGAAAAACTGTTTCTTTTTTGTTTTGTTTGGTTAATTTTTTTTATACATCGTTCTAGCTTTATTATAGTATTCGAATAGAACATGTGGAAACGATTAGATAATTGTTTAAATGATATAAATTTTGCGTATTCTGAGTTATAATATGAACGAAATATAATACTGTTAAGTGAACCTAGCGACAGAGTGTCGCTATGGTAAACAAACAGAGTGAATTTTAAAGAATGCATTTATTGTATTGTGGTTTATGCGCTGTCGGCGAAGTAGATTTAATTGAATCCAATAAGTTTAAACGAAATGCAATAAAAAATGCGTATAATTTAATATTCCGTACAAGGAAGTCACGTGGTGTACACATCAGATTTTTTTAGCAAAGTTTTTATGTTATTTTTCTTCTAGAAAGTCACATTCGGTGTCTATTTTTGAAGAATGTTTTCATTACAGATTCGCATTACAATATATAGCTGTATTACTTACGCACTTAAAAAAATATTTTCGCCCGTTCGGTCTCCCTTACAAAAATTACGA